TTATGGTTTTTGGTGCTATTGTAAATGGAATCATTTCTCTAATTTCTCTTTCTACAGTTGCGTTGTTAGTGTATAAGAAAGCAACTGATTTCTGTGCATTGATTTTGTACCCTGCGACATTACTGAATTGCTGTATGAGTTCTAGTAATTTGGGGGTGGAGTCTTTCCACAGAATGGGAGAAGATATTTGCAAATGACAGTACAGATAAAGGGCTGGTATCCAAGATCTATAAAGAACTTCTCAAACTCACACAAAAAACAAATAATCAAGTCAAAAAATGGGCAGAAGACATGAAGAGACACTTCTTCAAAGAAGACATACAAATGGCTAAGAGACAGATGAAAAAATATTCACCATCATTAGCCATTAGGGAATTTCAAATCAAAACCACATTGATATACCACCTTAACACCAGTTAGAATGGCAAAAATTGACAAGGCAAGAAACAACAAATGTTGGAGAGGTTGTGGAGAAAAGGGAACCTTCTTACACTGTTGGTGGGAATGCAAGTTGGTACAGCCACTTTGGAAAACTGTGGAGGTGCCTCAGAAAATTAAAAATAGAGCTACCCCATGACCCAGCAATTGCACTCCTGGATATTTACCCCAAAGACACAGAGGTAGTGAAAAGAAGGGCCATATGCTCCCCAGTGTTCATAGCAGCAATGTCCACAATAGCCAAACTGTGGAAAGAGCCAAGATGCGCTTCAGCAGATGAATGGATAAAGAAGATGTGGTCCATATATATAATGGAATATTACTCAGCCATCAGAAACGATGAATACCCAACTTTTACATCAACATGGATGGGAGTGGAGGAGATTATGCTAAGTGAAATAAGTCAAGCAGAGAAAGTCAGTTATCATATGGTTTCACTTATTTGTGGAACATAAGGAACAGCATGGAGGACAGTAGAAGAAGGAAGGGAAAAATGAAAGGGAGGAAATTGGAGGGAGAGATGAACCATGAGAGACTATGGACTCTGAGTAACAAAATGAGGGTTTTAGAGGGGAGGGGGTGGGGGGATGGGTTAGCCTGGTGATGGGTATTAAGGAGGGAACGTACTGCATAGAGCACTGGGTGTTATATGAAAACAATGAATCGTGGATGAATCGTGGATCACTACATCAAAAGCTAATGATGTATTGTATGGTGACTAACATAACATAATAAAATAAAAAAATCCAATTTTTCTTTTTCTATTTGAATGTTTATTAGAATTATATTTTATTTATGAATTAATTAGAAATAAATGGAATCTTTTAAATGTTGAGATTGCTTATCCAGGAACATGGCATATATATATTTATTTATTTATATTTTTTATAATGTTATGTTACTCACCATTGAGTACTTCATTAGTTTTTATTTTATTTTATTATGCTAGTCACCATACAGTACATCATTAGTTTTTGATGTAGTGTTCCATGATTCATTGTTTGCTTGTAACACCCAGTGCTCATTGCAATACAAGCCCTCCTTAATACCTATCACTGGGTTAACTCATCCCTCCCAACCCCCTCCCCTCTGAAAACCTCAGTTTGTTTCCCGGAGTCCAGAGTCTCTCATGGTTTGCCTCCCCCTCTGATTTTCCCCCTTTCATTTTCATTTTTCTCTTTCTTCTCCTAGTGTCCTCCATGCTATTCCTTATGTTCCACAAATAAGTGAAATCATATAATTATTGTTTTTATCCACTTGACTTATTTCACTTAGCATAATGCCCTCCAGTTCCATCCATGTCTATGCAAATGGTGAGTATTCATCTTTTCTGATGGCTGAGTTATATTCCATTGTATAGATGGACTACATCTTCTTTATCCATTCATCTGTTGAAGGGCATCTTGGCTCCTTCCACAGTCTGGCTATTGCGGACATTGCTGCTATGAACACTGGGGTGCATGTGGCTCTTATTTTCACTACATCTGTATCTTTGGGGTAAATACCCAGTAGTGCAATTTATGGGTCATAGGGTAGCTCTATTGTTAACTGATATGAGGATTGCTACCCCAGCTTTCTTTTGATGTCCATTAGCGTGATAAATATTTTCCACCCCCTCAGCCTTCAATCTGGAAGAGTCTTTGGGTCTAAAATGAGTCTCTTGTAGTCAGCTTTTGGATGAGTCTTTCTTTTCTATCCAATCTGATAACCTGTGTCTTTTTATTGGGGATTTTAGCCCATTTACATTCAGAGTAATTATTGAAAGATATGAATTTAGTGCCATTTTATTACCTGTAAAGTCCCTGTTTCTGTATCTTGTCTCTGTTCCTTTCTGGTCTTTGTTACTTTTGGGCTCCCTCTTCACTTAAAGGATCCTCTTTAGTATTTCTTGCAGGGCTTGTTTAGTGATCAGAAGTGCTTTTAGTTTCTGTTTGTCCTGAAAGCTCTTTATCTCTCCTTCTATTCTGAATGACAGCCTTGCAGGATAAAGCATTCTTGGTGCATATTTTTCTCATTTAGCACCCTGAATATATCATGCCAATTCTTTCTGACCTGCCAGGTTTCTGTTGATAGTTCTGCTGCCAGCCTTAGGTTTCTACCCTTATGGTTAAGTACCTCTTGCCCGAGCTGCTTTCAGGAATTTCTCTTTATATCTGAAATTTGCCAGCTTCACTAGTGTATGCTGAGGTGTTGACCTATTTTTATTGATTTTGAGGGGGGTTCTCTGCCTCCTGGACTTGAATGCCTGTTTCCTTCCCCAGATTAAGGAAGTTTTCAGCTATAATTTGTTCAAATAACCTTCTGCTCCCCCCTTTCCTCTTCCTCTGGGACCCCAATTATTCCAACATTGTTTCACTTTATTGCATCACTGATATCTGGAATCCTCCCCTTGTGATCCAGTAGTTGTTTATCTCTCTTTTTCTATCTCTTTATTCTCTATAATTTTATCTTCTATAACACTGACTCTCTCTTCTGCCTCATTTATCCTAGCAGTAAGAGCATCCATCAATGATTGCATTTCATTAATAGCCTTTTTTATTTCAACCTGATTAGATTTTAGTTCATTTCTCCAGAACCCTTTCTCTAGTGTCTTCTATGCTTTTTTCAAGCTCAGCTAGTGTCTTTGTAATCATTATTTTAAATTCTAGTTCCCACATCTTACTTATATCCATATTGATTAAGTCCCTGGCAGTGAGTACTGCCTTTTGTTCTCTTTTTTGGGGTGAGTTCTTCTGTCTTGTCATTCTTGCAAAAAGTGGTCTGTTTTCTATTTGTAGACTTGTAGCAATTTTTTTTTTAATATTTGGTTGAGTTCGCAATTGTTCAGAATGATTTAATAGCTAACTAGCTGAATTCCAGGGACTAGATGAAACTAGGGTCCCTATTCCTCCACCATCTTCCTCCCCTCCCCGGGGGGAAAGTAAATTTTATCATGAAAAGGTAAAAGGTGGTGTTGTGACTACCATGCAGCCCCTCTCTGCCTTAGAGGTATCCCTAATGGATCCCTGCATTTGCTTGTGTATCTCATGGAGACTCGTGGCTGGGTGAGCATGGCAAGGAGAGCTGCTGATGGTGTGACTGGATCCCAGCTGCTTTAAGGAAGCATGACTGAAGTTGGGAATTTAAAATTGTCATGTATTCCCCTCTTGAATGCCTCATTCCCACCTGTCCCCCACTCCACTCCATCCCACCTTGAAGGCAGGTGTCTAGGCATTGCCACCATCTGAGAAGTGAGGAGGGCAGTGCCATAGCCCAGATGGGGGTGAACAAGAATGCATCAGGTGTGCATCTTCCCTTATCCAGTCATGTTCTGGTGCTCACACCCACATCCTGATCCTGTGGCTTTCTAAGGGAAGTCGACAAGTTCAAGTAGGAAACTCTACTCTGGGGGATACCAGTTGCCTGCCCTGACTCAGAGTGATGCAATGAGTCCTTTCAGGCTCTAAAAGTTTTTGGTTCCCTTATTGGAATGTACAAGAGAAAACATTCTGTCCCTGCATTTTGATGCATTCTTGTTTTGCTGGTTCTTATTAAACTGTTATTTTTAACTGGTGATGTGTAGCCCCTGCTCTATGTGTCCCTGAGCTACTCAAAGAACCTGGCTCATGGGAATCTTTCCTCTCATGTGTAGAGAACAAGGAGAGATAGGAGGCCAGAAAACACCCCCAGTGGCTCAGCTATGAGAGCCAGCATTCTTCTTCCTCATTTCATATCTGCAGTGGGCTCTGATAAGAGGAACTTCTTCAGATCGGAGGTAGCAAGACTGCTCCAGAGACATCCTGGGGCATCTTTTTTTTTCTTTTCTAAGATTTTATTTATTTATTTATTTATTTATTTATTTATTTATTTATTTATGAGAGTGAGCATACGAGTTGGGGGGGAGGGGCAGAGGCAGAGTGAGAAGCAGAGTCCCTGCTGAACAGAGAGTGGGATGTGGGGCTGCATCTGAGGACCCTGGAATCATGACTTGAGCCAAAAGTAGATGCTTAACTGACTGAGCCACCCAGGTGCCCAATGGGGCATCTTGAAAATGCCTGACACTGGAGCTGGGGGAGTGTTTGATGAGGCTTTTGGGGTATACTAGGGCCATCGATAATGGGCTATGGAAGTTATCAGTGGGCAGTGGATTGACCTCTTGGTGTTATCTCAAGTGTGAATGGTGAGTGTCATCCAGCCATGACTCCCTTCACTGACTGAGCTTCGAGAGTGGCCTTTAGTGCCAATGTCACCCTGACTGGAGCCCACTCCCCGGTCCCCAATAGTTCAAACAGAGTCTCAGTTCCTCTGTCTACACCACCCTGCAGAAGGGGATGGAGACCTGCTTCCAGCCCCCATGATGGCACAGCAGAGTGTCTGAATCTAGGTGCCCTCAGGCCCAGCCAGAGAGCAGAGATGAGCAGAACAGTGAGCAGGTGCTCAGAACAGCTGGCTCCAGCTCATCCAGCAAACTGTGAGCTGAATTCTGTCTGGTCTCTATGGTAGAGTAGGGCTGGAGACTAGGGCCTCTGCCCTATGGGAACTCACACCTTTGAGAGGTCATCCTTTGCCCTGTTGTGTTCCAGACATCAATGAGTGTGGACCACCCTTGGCAGTGTCCTGTGGAAAATTTACAGATTGCCAGAATACAGAGGGGGAGCCACTACTGTACATGCAGCCCAGGATATGAGCTTGCTTCTGGGGCAAGAATGTTCAGGAATGAGAGTGAGAACATGTGTCAAGGTAAGAACTGACTTGTGTCTTCCATCTCCTCGTCCATGAGGTTTGGAGTCACTCAGGTCACTTTGTCTAGGCATCAGAGAACATCCTGATAACATCCTTTTCCAAACACCAAGGCTCAGAGATAGTGTGGTTGAGAGTACGCTGTCCTGTGAGGGTCACTGGGATTCCAAGGGGGAACTCAGGCAGCAAGCTGTTGCCCTGGGAAATTAGGACAAAAGCCATCACTGGGAGCCAAGATGGTCTTGTTTGGGAAACACAGTATTTCCCCTGCACTTGGTTCCCAGGAACGCCCACCCTGGACTTGTCCAAGTCCTCAGGCTGGGACACAGGTGGCCGTGATTTCACTGTCCCAGCTGGGAGCTGCCCAGAGAGGCCGAGGGAGCCAGGGCTGGCAGATGGGGAGGACTTGGACCACTTCCAGCAACATCTGGAAACAGAACATCTGGGCCACCATGCTCGCCCATAGCATGCCTCCATGTGAATTAGAAAAGGCACCCACGCACCAGAGAAGAGACAGTGGGGCCTTCCAGATGTTTCTATCCCAGGACACAGCTGCAGGCACCCATCACCCTCTCCGTCCCCCTGCAGACGTGGACGAATGTCAGCTGAAACCCCGAATCTGTAAAAGCCGTGGCATCTGCACCAACACCCAGGGTAGCTACACCTGCAAGTGCCCACCCGGCTTGGAGCTCAGCCCAGGCGACCCGAATCTGTGCACAGTTGAGGCCCTGGCAGATGCTGTGAGGCTGCACTGGAGCTGGGGAGGGTCCAAGGCAGATCCCGTAGCCCAGGAGGAGGGAGAAGACCCTCAGTTTCCCAAAACACCAGGGGTTTGCTCTGCCCAAGGACTTACCTCCTAAGAAGGTCCCTCCACAGAGTAGGGAGGCAGCAGGGCTTTCTATGCCTGGGGTGTCCTTGTGGAGCCCCCGATCTCTATGAGCAACACCCTACTTGCCCCTATTCATCTGTCATATTCTAGCAAAAGTGTCGCTTCTAGGGCAGCTCAGTGTCACAGCCTCCTTGGTTAGAGGTCCATCACAGCCTCCCCCCTCCCTGAACCTGACACCTAGTCTAATCTGCACCATATGTGAAGGGTCTCAGCTTTGTCTGGAATGGTTCACACACATGGTTCTACCCTGTCCACCTTGCAGGGACAATCTGAGATTATGGAGTTTTTACAATAGAAAATACTATCATAAAGTTTATCTTGACAGGGTAGGTGGCTGGTACATGGTGTGTGTGTGTGTGTGTGTGTGTGTGTGTGTGTGTGTGTGTGTGTCTTTCCTTGGTGTGAAGTACTAAGGAATCTGAGAGAAGGGACAGGAAGGATGGGTGCAGTGAGTGGAGGGAACCTTGGCCTTCTCGCTTTGTCCTCAGATGTGAATGAATGCACATCAGGGCAGAACCTATGCCACAACTCCACCTACTGCCTCAACAACATTTGGGGCTATCAGTTCCGCTGCCGCCCTGGATGGAAGCCAGTTCCTGGGTCCCCCAATGGCCCCAAGAACACCGTCTGTGAAGGTCCAGAGCTCAGACGCCACATCCTGGAGACCCACACTCAGAACATCTGATCACATATTCAGTGGCACCCACACAAACCAAGCAGAATGACCCCTGGGAGTGCCCTGTTGTGCCAGATGTTCATTCTTTTGAGGCTGGTTGGGAAAAAATCTGGGGGTCTTGGGGAAGGAGCTGGGGTACTGAGGAACAGGCTCCTTGGAGACCCCAGACAGCAGCTAATTACTACCTGGGACAAAGGTATTTCTATAGTCACAACCTGCACATCTGTACAGGGCTCATGTGCTACATGTCAGACTCCGCACACTTCCCACGACCCCTGCATCACCAGGATGTGGGGTCAGCAGGTGATATCACCTCCAGCCAAGGGGAGACACTAACACAGGAAAAGGGGGCAGGACATGGGAGGGGAAAGGGGTCCTGACTCCCATCTTTGTGTCCCCAGATGTGGATGACTGCAGTTCTGAGCAGCCTACGTGCCACAAGTCCACCGTCTGCATCAACACCATGGGCTCATACAAATGCCACTGTTGCCGGTGCTGGGAGCCCAAACCCGGATTCCAGAATAAGCAGCCCAATGCCACCTGTGAAGGTACCTGGTCTGACCTGACCCCAGACCCCGTCCCTGACACACACAGACACTCTCGCACCTAATGAATGGTGTTCTATTCCCTGCAGAGATGTCCTTCCCCACCTGGACCCCACCCCCTGGAATCAAGAGCCAGGTGAGTGGCCCCAGCAGGGACCAGGAGGCAGGAATCCCTCTGTGCAGCTCGCCTGACCCACCCATTTTCCCCAAGCTCCCCCACCCACAATTCGGGCTCTCTGATCTGTACCTCTCTATCCTAGAGACTCTCCCGTTTCTTTGAAAGAATCCAAGATCTGCGCAGAGACTTCAAGCCAGCCTTGGCTCAGGACACCATCCAGGTAAGGGCACATCCCAGGAGAGGCAAGGTGGAGGCATCCCATAGAGGCCTGGCAAGCTATGGACTAGGAGGAGGCAGCCCCAACATACTGGCTTCCTCTCTGAGGCCCCACCTCTCCCAGGGTCGGTGGGAAGAACAGACATGCAGACATTCCTACTCACTGTTAAACACACCCCCGCACCCACAAATGACTTCTTTTTTTTTATTATGTCATGTTAATCACTATACATTACATCATTAGTTTTTGATGTAGTGTTTCATGATTCATTGTTTGGGTATAACACCCAGTGCTCATTTCAGTACATGTCCTCTTTAATACCCATCATCAGGCTAAGCCATCCCCCCACCCCCCGCCCCTCTAGAACCCTCAGTTTGTTTCTCAGAATCCATAGTCTCTCACGGTTGGTCTCCCCACCAATTTCCCCCCTTCATTTCTCCCTTCCTACTATCTTTTTTTTTTTAACATATAATGTATTATTTGTTTCAGTGGTACAGGTCTGTAATTCAACAGTCTTACACAATTCACAGTGCTCACCATAGCACGTACCCTCCCCAATGTCTATCACCCAGCCACCCCATCCCTCCCACCCCCTACCACTCCAGCAAACCTTAGTTTGTTTCCTGAGATTAAGAATTCCTCATGTCAGTGAGGTCATATAATACATGTCTTTCTCTGATTGACTTATTTCACTCAGCATAACACCCTCCAGTTCCAACCACGTCGTTGCAAATGGCAAGATTTCATTCATTATTTTTTAAAGATTTTATTTATTCATTTGAGAGAGAGAGAGAGAAAGCACAGAGGGAGAGTGTGAGGGAGAAGCAGTCTCCCCGCTGAGCAGAGAGCCTGATGTGGGACTCGATCCCAGGACTCTGGGATCATGACCTGAGCCGAAGGCAGCTGCTTAACCAACTGAGCCACCCAGGTGCCCCCCAAGATTTCATTCTTTTTGATGGCTGCATAATATTGCATTGTATATATATACCACATCTTCTTTATCCATTCATCTGTCAATGGACATCTTGGCTCTTTCCATAGTTTGGCTATGGGGGACATTGCTGCTATAAACATCGGGGTGCGCATACCCCTTCGGATCCCTACATTTGTATCTTTGGGGTAAATACCCAGTAGTGCAATTGCTGGATCATATGGTAGCTTTATTTTCAACTTTTTGAGGAACCTCCATACTGTTTTCCAGAGCGGCTGCACCAGCTTGTATTCCCACCAACAATGTAGGAGTGTTCCCCTTTCTCCGCATCCCCGCCAACATCTGTCATTTCCTGACTTGTTAATTTTAGCCATTCTGACTGGTGTGAGGTGATATCTCATTGAGGTTTTGATTTGGATTTCCCTGATTCCGAGCGATGTTGAGCACTTTTTCATGTGTCTTTTGGCCATTTGGATGTCTTCTTTGGAAAAATGTCTGTTCATGTCTTCTGCCCATTTCTTGATTGGATCATTTGTTCTTTGGCTGTTGAGTTTAAGAAGTTCTTTATAGATTTTGGATACTAGCCCTTTATCTGATGTTATTTGCAAATATCTTCTCCCATTCTGTTGGCTGTCTTTTGGTTTTGTTTACTGTTTCTTTTGCTGTGGAAAACTTTTTATCTTGATGAGGTCCCAACAGTTCATTTTTGCCCTTGCTTCCCTTGCCGTTGGTGATGTTTCTAGGAAGAAGTTGCTGCGGCTGAGGTCGAAGAGGTTGCTACCTGTGTTCTCCTCTAGGATTCTGATGGATTCCTATCTCACATTTAGGTCTTTTAACCATTTTGAGTCTATTTTTGTGTGTGATGTAAGGAAATGGTCAAGTTTCATTCTTCTGCATGTGGCTGTCCAATTTTCCCAACACTATTTGTTGAAGAGACTGTCTTTTTTCCAGTGGACATTCTTTCCTGCTTTGTCGAAGATTAGTTGACCATAGAGTTGAGGGTCCATTTCTAAGCTCTCTATTCTGTTCCCTTAATTGATGTGTCCGTTTTTGTTGCAGTACCGTACTCTCTTGATGATGACAGTCTTGTAATAGAGCTTGAAGTCTGGAATTGTGATGCCACCAGCTTTGCTTTTCTTTTTCAACATTCCTCTGGCTATTCGAGGTCTTTTCTGGTTCCATACAAATTTTAGGATTATTTGTTCCATTTCTTTGAAAAAAGTGGATGGTATTTTGATGGGGATTGCAATGAATGTGTAGATTGCTCTAGGTAGCATTGACATCTTCACAATATTTGTTCTTCCAGTCCATGAGCATGGAATGTTTTTCCATTTCTTTGTGTCTTCCTCAATTTCTTTCATGAGTATTTTATAGTTTTCTGAGTACAGAATCTTTGCCTCTTTAGTTAGATTTATTCCTAGGTATCTTATGGTTTTGGGTGCAATTGTAAATGGGATCGACTCCTTGATTTGTCTCTCTTCTGTCTTGTTGTTGGTGATTAGGAATGCCACTGATTTCTGGGCATTGATTTTATAGCCTGCAACTTTACTGAATTCCTGTATGAGTTTTGGCAGTTTTGAGGTGGAGTCTTTTGGGTTTTCCACATAAAGTATCATATCGTCCTCAAACAGTGAGAGTTTGACTTCTTCTTTGCCAATTTGGATGCCTTTGATTTCTTTTTGTTGTCTGATTGCTGTAGCTAGGACTTCTACTACTATGTTGAATAGCAGTGGTGAGAGTGGACATCCCTGCCGCATTCCTGACCTTAGGTGGAAAGCTCTCAGTTTTTCCCCATTGAGAATGATATTCGCTGTGGGTTTTTCATAGATGGCTTTTATGATATTGAAGTATGTACCCTCTATGCCTATTCTCTGAAGAGTTTTGATCAAGAAAGGATGCTGTACTTTGTCAAATGCTTTTTCTGCATCTATTGAGAGGATCATATGGTTCTTCATCCTTCTTTTATTAATGTATTGTGTCACATTGATTTATTTGTGGATGTTGAACCAACCTTGCAGCCCAGGGAGAAATCCCACTTGGTCGTGGTGAATAATCCTTTTAATGTACTGTTGGATCCTACTGGCTAGTATTTTGGTGAGAATTTTTGCATCTGTGTTCATCAAGGATATTGGTCTGTAATTCTCCTTTTTGACGGGGTCTTTGGTTTGGGGATCAAGGTAATGGTGGCCTCATAAAATGAGTTTGCAAGTTTTCCTTCCATTTCTATTTTTTGGAACAGTTTCAGAAGAATAGGTATTGATTCTTCTTTAAATGTTTGGTAATATTCCCCTGGGAAGCCATCTGGCCCTGGGCTGTTTGTTGGGAGATTTTTGATGACTGCTTCAATTTCCTTAGTGGTTCTAGGTCTGTTCAGGTTTTCTATTTCTTCCTGGTTCAATTTTGGTAGTTGATACATCTCTAGGAATGCATCCATTTCTTCCAGATTATCTAATTTGCTGGCATATAGTTGCTCACAATGTGTTCTTATAATTGTTTGTATTTCTTTGGTGTTGGTTGTGATCTCTCCTCTTTCATTCATGATTTTGTTGATTTGGGTCATTTCTCTTTTCTTTCTTTTTTTTTATGGAAGAGATATTTCCTTTTTTTAAAAAAAAATTTATTATGTTATGTTAGTCACCATACAATATATCACTAGTTTTTGATGTCGTGATCCATGATTTATTGTTTTCGTATAGCACCCAGTGCTTCATGCAGTATGTGCCCTCCTTAATACCCATCACCGGGCTAACCAATCACCCCTCCCTCCTCCCCTCTAAAACCCTGTTTGTTTCTCAGAGTCCATAGTCTCTCATGATTCGCCTCCCCCTCTGATTTCCCCCCCTTCATTTTTCCCTTCCTTCTCCTAATGTCCTCCATGCTGTTCCTTATGTTCCACAAATAAGTGAAACCATAGGATAATTGACTTTCTCTGCTTGACTTATTTCACTTAGCATAATCTCCTCCAGTCCCATCCATGTTGATGAAAAAGTTGGGTATTCTTCCTTTCTGGTGGCTGAGTAATATTCCATTGTATATATGGACCACATCTTCTTTATCCATTCATCTGTTGAAGGGCATCTCGGCTCTTTCCGCAGTTTGGCTTTTGTGGAAATTGCTGCTATGAACACTGGGGTGCATATGGCCCTTCTTTTCACTACATCTGTGTTTGGGGTAAATACACAGTAGTGCAATTGCTGGGTCATAGGGTAGTTCTATTTTTAAGTTTTTGAGGAACATCCACACTGTTTTCCACCGCTTCACTTTCAATCTGGGAATGTCTTTGGGTCTAAAATGAGTCTCTTGCAGACAGCATATCGATGGGTCTTGTTTTTTTATCCAATCTGATAGCCTGTGTCTTTTGTTTGGGGCATTTAGCCCATTTACATTCAGGGTAACTATTGAAAGATATGAATTTAGTGCCATTGTATTGCCTGTAAGGTGACTGTTAGTATATATTGTCTGTGTTCCTTTCTGGTCTATGCTGCTTTTAGTCTCTCTCTTTGCTTAGAGGACGCCTTTCAATATTTTTTGGAGGACTGGTTTTGTGTTTGCAAATTCCTTTAGTTTTTGTTTGTCCTGGAAGCTTTTTACCTCTCCTATTTTCAATGATAGCCTAGATGGATATAGTATTCTTGGCTGCATATTTTTCTCATTTTGTGCTCTGAATATATCATGCCAGTCCTTCCTGGATTGCCAGGTCTCTGTGGATAGGTTTGTTGCCACTCTAATGTTTCTACCATTGTAGGTTACATATCTCTTCTCCTGAGCTGCTTTCAGGATTTTCTCTTTGTCTCTGAGACTCGTAAGTTTTACTATTAGATATCAGGGTGTTGACCTATTTTTATCGATTTTGAGAGGGGTTCTCTGTGCCTCCTGGAATTTGATGCCTGTTTCCTTCGCCAAATTAGGGAAGTTCTCTGCTATAATTTGCTCCAATATTCCTTCTGCCCCTCTCTCTCTTTCTTCTTCTTCTGGGATCCCAATTATTTTAATGCTGTCTCGTCTTATCGTATCGCTTATCTCTCGAATTCTGCCCTTGTGATCCAGTAGTTGTTTATCTCTCTTTTTCTCAGCTTCTTTATTTTCCATCATGTGGTCTTCTATATCGCTAATTCTCTCTTCTGCCTCATTTATCCTAGGAGTTAGAGCCCCCATTTTTGATTACACCTCATTAATAGCCTTTTTAATTTTGACTTGGTTAGATTTTAGTTCTTTTACTTCTCCAGAAAGGATTTCTCTGATAACTTCCATGCTTTTTTTCATGCCCAGCTAGTATCTTTCAAATCATCATCCTGAACTCTAGTTCGGACATCTTACTAATATCTGTATTTTTTAAAATTCTTTTTTAAAATATTTTATTTATTTATTCATGAGAGACAGAGGGAGAGAGAGAGGGTGAGGGAGAGAGAGAGAGGCAGAGGGAGAAGCAGGCTCCCAAGGAGCAGGGAGCCCAATGCGGGACTCAATCCCAGGACGCTGGGATCATGACCTGAGCCGAAGGCAGATGCTTAACCATCTGAGCCACCCAGGTGCCCCTAATATCTGTATTGATTAGGTCCCTGGCAGTCGGTACTGCCTCTTTGTCTTTTTGTTGAGGTGATTTTTTTCCATCTTGCCATTTTGTCCAGAGGAGAAGAGATGAATGAGAGAACAAAATGCTAACAGGGTAACAACATCCCCAGAAAATATACTCTAAACAAGTCAGAAAAGACCTGAAACCGGGGGAAAAGAAAGGGACAGAAAGAAAAAAGAAAAAAAAGAAAAAGAAAAAGATAAAAACAAAGAAACAAAAAGAAAAAACAAAGAAAACAGAATATGATCAAATATGATCAGGCTGGTGCATAGATCAGTGCCACACACTAGATTTTGGGTGTATTTTTGTCTGTTCGAAGAAAGTGCCTCCCAAAATTTTATAGAAAGAAAAACTTATATATGTACAAAAATAAAGGTTGATACAATGAAGGGATGGAATATGACTGTAAAGATGAAAATTATGAAAGATTTTATAAAAGGAATTGATAAGATAAGAAGTTGGTTGAAATATGAAAGAAGAAGATTTAAAATAAAAGAGGAGAGTATGTGATCAGGCAGGAGACTAGAACAAAGCCATGCACTAGAGATTTAGGGTATTTGATCTGTTAGAAGAAACTGTATCTCAAAATTTTAAAGAGAGAACCAAAAATAAGGGTAACTACCATGAAGGGATAGAATATGACTCTAAAAATGAAAAATGAAAAATATTTTTTAAAAAAGGGATTGATAAGATGTTGGTTGAAAAAGGGAAAAAGAAAAATTAAAAAAAAAAGACCGTTAAAAAAATTAACTTTGAAAGACTAAAGAATCATGGTAAAAAAGCCGTGAATTCTATGTGCAGTATTCCCCTAGCGCTGGAGTTCTGCCGTTCTCATTGATCGGTAAACTTGGTCTTGGCTGGCAGTTCTTGCTGATCTTCTGGGGGAGGGGCCTGTTGCCGTGGTTCCCAAATGTCTTTGCCGGAGGCGGAATTGCCCCACCCTTGCTGGTCCCGGTTAAGGAATCTGCTCCGGTTTGCTCTCAGGAGCTTTTGTTCCCTGCAAGCTTTCTGTACAGCTTTGGAGGACGAGAGTGAAAATGGCAGCCTCCCAGTCTCCACCCCGGAGAAGCCGAGGACTTGGGGCCTGGCTCCTCAGTGCGCCCCCAGAGAAAAGCAGTCAGTCACTCCTGTCTCCCCGCTTTCTGGCCGCACTCCGTGCTCACCCGGCCTGTGACCGAGAGTTTCTATCTCTGGCGCACGACCCCAGGTGGAGTCTCCAAACCCAGCAGATCCCTGCAGTGCGCTCCCGCGCTGCTCCTTCTGGGGGAGGAAGGGGAGTCTCCCCGGATCTGCCGCTTGTTGGGTCCCTGCTGGAGGAGCAGTGGCCCAACTGTGCCACGGATCACGGTTTATGGCAACCCCAAGCTGCAAGCCCACTCCCTGGCTCCGTCTCCGCAGCCAGCTTCCCTGCTCCAATCCCTGGGAGCTCTGCTGCTCTCAGGCACCCCCAGTCTTTCTGTGACCCTGAGGGTCCTGAGACCACAGTGTCCCAGTGAGGCTTCCACTCCCTGCTTAGCCAATGCAGTGACGGCCCTCAGCGAAGCAGACTTATAAAGTTCTGATTTTGTGCTCCACTTCTCTATCACTTGCCAGGAGCACCTGATGGAGGCCCCCTCCCCCACCATCTATCCTCCCAAATATCGCCTCAAATTCACTTCTCCACACATCCTACCTTCCAGAAAGTGGTCGCTTTTCTGTTCAGAGAGTTGTTGCTATTCTTTTCTTCGATCTCCTGTTGAGTTCGTCGGTGTTCAGAATGGTTTGATCCCTATCTAGCTGAATTCTTGGGACCAGACCAAATCCAGGTTTCCTACTCCATCATCTTGCTCCGCCCCCTCAAATGTGGTCCTTAATGACCATCACCCACTCACCCCATCCCCCCACCCACCTCCCTGCTAGTAACCCGCAGTTAAGAGTCTCTCATGGTTTGTCTCCACTCTGATTTTATGTTATTTTGTTTTTCCTTCCCTCCCCCAATGTTCACCTTAAATTCCACATGTGAGTGAAATCATCTGAGATTTGTCTTTCTCTGACTGACTTAATGCACTTAGGATAATAACCTCTATTTCCACCCATGTCGTTGTAAATGGCAAGCTTTCATTCCTTTTGATGGCTGAGTAATATTCCATTGTATGTATATGCCACATCTTTATCCATTCATCTGTCCATGGACATCTGGACTCTTTCCATAGGTTGGGTTTGTGGACATTGCTACTATAAACATTGGGGTGCATCCCCATGCCTTTTTTGTGTGAGGATATCCTCATGCATCCTTAGACTTAGAGGAATGTTTCAGAGGTTTTCCATAATTTGTTATGGTCCTTTGGTTCTCCAGTATTTCCTTTTAAATTGCTGGACAAGTTCTTGTTGATCGCACCTGACATCATAGACCTAGACAGCAGATGATGTGACAGTAGTTTTCTCTTGTATTGGTAGTGTCCTAGAGTAGGCTCCCCTCTCCTCCATGAGTTCTCGGTGAAATCAAATAGGCACCAAATTTAGAGGATAAAGAGTTAGGGAACTACAGAGTAAGAATAAAATATTGGTTGTGTTTTGGGGATGATGATGATGCTTTTAATGGAGCTCCAATAATATTCAGATCTCTCCATTGTCTTCCGTGCTCTCCACTTTTGGCTGCCGCACCACTAAGTTCCAAGTTAAACCATCCCAGACTCCTTTCTCCCCAGTCTTACTGAGGTTCAGTAGTTTCTTTCGGATAGACTATTTTCAATTTGTTCTGTGGTTTTGGGTATATGCCAGAGTTTCAAAATAGTTGGTTTTCATTGTTCTGTGTGTATTTTGTTGTTTTAGAAGGAGAGCAAGTTCACCAAGGTCCTTACCCCTCCATTCAGGAAGTCAGTTCCCAGGACGTGCACTCCTAAGCACAACATGCTCCTGCACATATTGCATGGAGCACTGGGTGTTATACGCAAACACTGAATCATGGAACGCTACATCAAAAACTAATGATGTACTGTATGGTGACTAACATACCACAATAAAAAAAGTGAGTATCACTGAACTGTATAGTTTAAATGGGTGAATTTTATGGTCTGCAAAATATATCTCAATAAAGCCATGAAAACATTTAAATCTAAGTTGATGGGTTTGGCAACCGATGGAAACAAATTCAATGGAAGAGTGCAAGAAAGGCCCCTAAAAGCATGTTAGGCTCACAGGACTCTCAAAATCTGTTAACACGTTTGTGGGCTTCTTTGTTTCAACACTGTTTATCTCCATAACATCATCCAATGTCAATATCTCAGCTAAAAATATAATTTCCTTAAGGAATCTTCCTTACCCATCCTAATCCCTCAGACTCCAAACTAAGCATGACATCCAATGATACATTCTCACAACCTCACACTTTGTTGTATTGTTACAGAATGTCTAATTGTGTGTCTCCTCTCCATGTGAGATATGTGGGTTTTAAGACCATGTTTACTTTCTTTACCACTGTACCTTCGGAGCTAATGACAGAGCCTGTCACAAAAGAGTCACTCAATATTTGTTGATGAATGAATGAATGAATGAATGAATGAATTTATATAATAGTTCTATATTCCCAAGGACTAATGCATTTTTTACTCTCTCTTGCTCAGCTGCTGGCTCGACCCAGAAAAGAGATTTATATGGAACTTCCTTGGGCCAGTCTGCACCATCTTCTCTGTGAGCTATGTTATCACAGCATCCCCAATGCTTAGCTGGGGGCCATTAGAAGAGCAGAATTTAAAGGGGGGTGTGTATGTGTGACAGGGGCAGGCATGTCCCTGGATTGTCATGGCATTGTTTGGTTTTCTAAGACTACTCCTCAAACTACAAATTCTAACACTGTTACTTGATATGAAAATGACTTAAATGTGGAGTTGAGGTTGGAGAGGCTAGGACACAGATCACAGATTGAAATTTTATTCAGTAAATCTTCTGTGGTTTCTTGAAGGTCAATTTAATTTTCGTTCTGATGACCCTCCGGATTTTGAAAAGCAAACTGTCTTCCCTCAACAGTGATGTATCCACCCTCCAGAACACAAGGTAAGCTTGAGAAGAGAGTGACAACCCCACAGACATATGTGGTCCTAAGGACAAAGCCATGTGCCTCAGCAGTCCCTGATGCTTCTTCTTGGGGTCTGCTAAGGGGACCTAGAGCAGAGAGATGCAGCTACCCTTCTATGGCAGCTGGCTCAGATTCAGTGGTGTGCTGATGACACCCTGGGCAAAATGTTCTGCCTATTCATTTTTTTTCCAGAAAGACAGTGAGAGTGTGGGGGAGGGAGGAGAGGGCTGGGGGGAAGGAGAGAGAGATTCTTAAGCAGGCTCTACGCTCAGCGTGGAGCCCAACATGGGGCTCTATCCCATGACCCTGGGATCATGACCTGAGCTGAAATCAAGATTCGGATGCTTAACCGACTAAGCCACTGAAGCGTCCCTGTTCTATCTATTTCTAACCCTCTTTTGTAACTCTCTCAGCAACAGGAAGGATTGGCATTGGTTAATAAATGTTCTTTGGACTTTTGCCAGCAATCTTATGACAAATGTACAGAGAATATTTATGTTCCTAAGAAGCACTTAGAAAAACCTGTGATTGCTCTCACAACCCACCCTACATTTCCACACCCCACCCTAGTTCAGGCTCCTTCTGACCCCTCTTTCATTTCTCTCTGTGGAGAAAATGTAGTCAACGTCAAATCTTCTGGGAGGCTTGGGTAGTCCTTTGTTCCAGCAACCTTTGTGCAAATTTTTGCTTTCTCTTCCATGTTCCTATTATTATCCATTCTAAATGAAAATAGGAATCTCCCTTGGCTAATTGAATTTAAATAAAAATAAACTAATGATGTACTGTATGGTGACTAACATAACATAATAACATAAAGAAAATAAAGACGGTTTCTCAAAAAAAAAAAAAAAGAAAAGAAAAGAAAATAGAAATCTTGCCATTGTTGTTTTTTAAATCCCAGGTCCCAGCACAGAGCTGGATGCAAAATGCCTTCTCAGTAGTGTTGAATGAATAAAATTCAAGATCTCCATGGAGCATCATAAAATTTTTGAAACTTACATTATGAAGTATCCCTATCCTCCTCAATCCAAATCAAAACACCACCCTGGTCCCTCATGGCATTTTTTCTGTAAGGAATCATTGACAATAAAGATCAAAGCTGATCACAAGTCAGTCTGAGAACTCATCACCAAAAGAGGAAGAAAGGAGAATCCATAGGGCAGAGAGGAGAATGTTTGTCATTGTGTTGCCCCGGGTACATCATGAACCTCCTTTCTTGTCCAACCCAGGATGCTGACATTTAAGGCCACAGCTCAACTTTTCATTTTGGGCTGCACCTGGTGCCTGGGCATCCTGCAGGTGGGTCCAGCTGCCCATGTCATGGCTTACCTCTTCACCATCATCAACAGCCTGCAAGGCTTCTTCATCTTCTTGGTGTACTGCCTCCTCAGCCAGCAGGTACCACTGCCCAGCTCCTACCCAGTACTCCTCCCATCTTCACTCCCTTCAGTGAGCTGACCCAACCATGCATTGCCTCTGCAGGTCCGGGAACAATATAAGAAATGGTTCAAAGGGATCAGGAAAACAAGAGCTGAGTCTGAGAAATACACACTGTCCAGCAAGGCCATGTCTGATGCCTCCAAATCCAGCATGGTAAGATCACGCATTGCTCCCAGAGCGCTTCACTAAGTGATCTGCTTAAGTACCATATACTTATCACACTGAACAACTTTAGTGTGCAGTAGATGATGCCCTAGGGTGGCTCACACTTGGTTTGCTTTTTGACTCTTTACCTATTAATGTAATGTTAATAATTTAGCTGTTAATTAATTATTAACTTTTGGCCTCCTCTATGAAGATGGTGCTTCCATGTGCTCTTTGGATCCCATCCTTCATACCTTATCAATTATCTTTAAATTACTGTTCACGCATTCTCCTCTCTTTCCACTTCCCTAAGGCACAATCTCAACAATATTCCTCCCATAGTCATGGAAACATGTTTGGTTCTCTTCTATCTTAAAAACATGTACTACTTGCCCCCGTTTTAGCTACCAGCCAAAAGTTGACTTCTCTGTCTCCATTTCCTTGCCTTAATCTTACTCCCTCCTCTCCCAGCTCTTGCAAATAGGGTTTCTTTCCCCCATCATGCCACCCAAACAATCATCTCTTAGACCTACAGTGATCTCCATGTCCCTAAAAGTTTTCTCAGCAACTTCTAACTGTTCATCCTTTCTCATGAAACACTCCATCCTTATTCTGTGTAGATTCTACTCAGACATGCTTCTATTTCTTTCTTCCATTCTCTCTAGATTTCTCTCTTTGTTTCCTTCATTGCTTAATCTAATGGATCAGTTCTGGAATAACTTCAGTCCTAGCTAAATCTTTCCTCCTAGACAAAGCATCTATTCTTTAGATAGTTACCACTGGACACAAATGATGGCCATGTATATTTCTCTTGCTCTGATCTCTGAAGTCTAGACGAGTATTTTCAGCTTCTTATTTCTTATGTCTTGAAGACACCTTTAGCTCAGGCTTCCAGTAGAAGACTTGCAGTCTTTACCCCAATTTAATCCTTTCTCATGACATCTTTCTCTGGATGATATTGCATCATCCTGTGGCACAAATTTGGATCATAAAAGTTACTCTCAACAATGATTTTATTTCCCACCACAAACTATCCATTTTCCAATCTTTGTTGTTTTTATCTTCTCAGTATGTCCCCAGTATGTCCTGCTGGCTCAATCTTCATCACTCCTCCTTAGCAGGCTGCCATCTTCGCTTGGCTGAGCAACTGCTGTATCCTAATTTACCACCCCTTTCTACTCTTGTCAGCTTCTCTTGCATATTCTACACACAATTCAGAGGGACCTTTTCAAAACATAAATAAAATAATGTCACTCCTTTGTTAAACTCATTACATGTAGGATTAAACCCCAAATCCATAAATCAATGAGTATTTGCTTGGGTTGTCTCCTGCTTTCCTCTCCAGCTTCATCCACCATAAACTCACCATTATTTTGGCCACATCAGATTTCTTTCAGTTTTTTAAATTCACTGTGTCTCTTTGGAACAAAGACTTTGCACATCCTCCCTCTACTCCCTCTCCTTGAAACACTCTTTTGTTTTCCTTGACTCAAAACTAGGTGAGCCGTCAGATCTCAGTTCATGTGTCCATTCCTCCAAGAAGCCTTCTCTTCCTGCCTTGATTAGGTCAGATTCTCTTGTTTTTCACTCTGATAGCCCCTGTGCCTTTCCTGCAGAGCAGTTGTTGGAGTCATTTACTCTTGGTTTTCACTGTTCCATTAATGTCTGTCTTCTGTCTGGATTTCAGCCCTGACAGTGCTATGTTGGTTTTTCCTTCTAATGTATCCCCAGCATTTCACACAGGGCTAGGCACATAGAAATGCTCAATATATAATTGCTGCGTGACTGATTAAATTAAATGAATAAACTGCATTTGCAGAAGGTGCAGGAACAGTCTTCCTCACCAATCTCTTTCCAACTTTCCAAGTGCTCGATAATTATCTAGTGAGCAAACAAGTGAATGAATAAATGAGTGAATGAATTGCCTGACCAGGAGGGTATTAAAACAGTAGAGTAAAGAAGTGATTAGTTTATGATGTCACTTTCTCCTGGGAATATCAAGATAATTCTCTGCCCCATTGTTTCATTATTGACCATCATGTCTACTGAGTAAGACCCAAATATTTCCTTATGATCCATGAACATCATGTAGACCTTAGTTCCCAGACTGAAGCAGGTCTGGAATGAAATACCACCTCTCTCACACGCTTGCTATGTGAACTGGGTCAAATTGCGAAGCATCTTAAATCTTCCACTGCCTCCTTCCTCTTTTCCCTGCATAAGACAGTTTTCTTAAATTTGCTCAATTGGAACTAATTATTTGCTTCTGTGTGTAGGCTTTCAGGTGGCTCAGATATTGGTGGGAGGGGGCTGAACATCTCCCACACACATTGTAGATGTTGATTCAGCCAAGGATGGGGAATGTAACCAAGCAGGAGCTAATGCAGCATCCCTTGGTACAGCTGATGCCACCACACAAGGGAAGGGTCCCACATATCAGAGATGTTCATTCTGGCTATATCACAGCCCTGTCCCACTTGGGGCTTGCATTATTCAGGAAGAATGTAATAAATAGTTCATACCTTTCTGTTTAGGGAATGCTAACAGTACTTAACCTCCGTGTTCTTTAGTTAGCTCAGCCTCAGCAAGGCCATATCGTCATCCCTTGGAGCTTTTCCCTAGTAGTCCCTGAATAGGATGTGAGCTTCCCTCACTCCAGAATCCCAGAAAACAGATTATTTCCACATATACACTTCAATTGTATTAGTTTCCTTTTGCTGTTGTTACAAGTTTTCACAGACTTATTGCTAAGAACAACACAAATATTAGGGGTGCCTGGGTGGCTTGGTTCGTTAAGTGTCTGACTCTTGATTTCTGCTCAAGTCGTGATCTCAGGGTCCTGAGATCCAGCCCTGCAGTGGGCTCCAGGCTCAGTGTCAAGTCTGCTTGAGATTCTCTCTTCTCTCCCTCTCCCCACCCCCTTGCACTCTCTCGTTCTCTCTTTCTCTCTTGCTCAATTAAATAAGTAAATCTTTGCTGCTATGAACTTTGGGGTGCATGTGCCCCTTCTTTTCACTACATCTGTATCTTTGGGGCATATACCTAGTAGTGCAATTGCTGGGTCTTAGGGTACCTGTATTTTTAATGTCTTGAGGACCCTCCATACTCTTTCCTAGAGTTATATGCAACTAATGAATCACTGAACACTACATCAAAAACTAATGATGTATTATATGTTGGCTAACTGAACATAATAAGAAAGTAAGTAAATTTAAAAAAAATGCACAAACATATATCTTACAGGTCTAGAAGTTCGAAGTTTCAAATGGGTCTTATAGGAGTAAAATCAAGGGGTCAGCAGAGCTGAGTTCCTTCTGGAGACTCTAGGAGAGTTTTTAATTTCTCACCTTTTCCAGCACCTAGAATCTGCCTGCTTTCCTTAAATAGTGTCCCCTTGCTCCATTCACCTTTGAAAGCCTGCACTGCAGGATCTTCAAAACTCTCTCGCTCTCACTCACTCTCCCCTGCTTTTGTCAGTTGTATCTCTTCCTGTCTTCGACTCTGCTTCCTCCCTCTTTCTTTTAAAAAGACCTTAGTCATTACACTGCCTCACTTCCCATCTAAGATACGTAACTTAATTTTAGCTCAAAAGTCCATTTTTTCCCCATGTGGAGTGACAAATTCACAGGATTCAGAGAGGAGAATGTGGGCCTCTTTGGGAGAATCATTACTCTGTCTACTGTACGTAGTTTTGGTTTGCTTATTGTAGAACCATGAAAATCTGCCTGGTGTTATAGTGTTTGAGTAAATATCACCCCCCCTCCCCTGAGATGATCTGCACAGTAAAGACACATACTTTCTGTGAGAAAAATAGCATCAGATAGCCAAGGAAGGTGTGTAAAATGTAAGTCATCTGATCAGCTCTTTCTACTGTCTGTGAGCAAAGGACCAAGCAAATCCATTCCTTAATGTAGTTCTATCTTCTCTTGTCTCTTAAAATTTGGTGCCTCTCATGTTTAAAGATATAGGAATGTCTCCCTCTCATCTTGGCTTCTCTTCTGTGGCTTCCTGAAGCCTTGTTCAAGAAAACCACAATATTTGCTCTTGCATTCAGTTCTGAATAGTTTCACAAAGCACCATTTTTATAACCTTATTGTGTAGAGATAAGCATGTGAAGTTGCCTAACTCAAACAGCAGAAATCACACTAAGCTTGCTATAGCCCCAGGAAAAAATAACTCATATTGATAATGGAAGGATAAGGGAGAAAAAAAGGAGAATTCACTGTTTTTTTCCTTTAGATCTTAGGTGATTGACAACACATAACATTTCCAACCTTGTGTTAATTTCCCACCTTCCCTCTTTTATTTCTTTACCTGTAAACCAGAATTTCACAAACCTTGAAGCAGAGGGATCAGGACATACATCTTGAAAGAGACAGATTGTTTTTTTTTTTTTTTTCCTGTAGCCCATTTCATTGGTCTTATCTTCTGTAACTTGGGGGTTAAGATTTGTAGGGAGATGGGACTTCTGGGATGACCAGGGTCTCACCTAATATAATAGTGTATAGCCTTTTGCTCTTCCTCAGACCTATTTACCTGGCAAGGAAATTTTGTGATTGAAGGATTAATTAAATTTCTTAAAAAATATTTATTTATTAATTTAGAGGGAGAGAGAGAATGAATGGGAGGGGCAGAGGGAGAGGGAGAGAAAATCTCAAGCAGACTCTGCGCTTAGCATGGAGCCCAACATGGGGCTTGATCTCACAACCCTCATCATAACCTGAAATCAAACCAGGGGTCAGACCTGTAACTGACTAAGTGACCCAGATGCCCCAAAGGAATCTTTAGAATTATCTTTCTGTAGTCTTTTATAACATTTCTAAATATTATTTTTTCTAGGTTAATTAAAAAATATCTTGAGTTATATCCACTTATCCCATGGAAAATTGGAACTGTTATTCTCTGAGCAAATGAGAGGATAAACAAGACTGTTGTGTGTGTTTCAAGAAATTCACCACGTCAATAATGTGAAAGAAGTCAACTATGTTTGACATCAAGACCTGCATAATCTGGAATTTTTCTGTGTCTTTCAGTGTGCTAAGCAAACTTTCCACATATAAAGGGCCAGATGTGGCCCAATTTCTTGGTCACTTTGTGTTACATCCTTTTCTGAAACCTCTCCTTCCTACAAAGACTCTTCCACATGCTGAACATCTATGAGCTGGAAAACCCACCTCATTGGATTTTACTACCAAAAGCATCCATAAGAATGGAAAAGTTCACACCATAGTATGGATTTTGAAATTTCTTTGTTCTGTTTTCTGTGCAGTTAATTATTCATTCATTCAAATATATTGATTTCTCATTAGGTCTAAGGCAGAGAGCAAGAGAGACACAGGTTTTGCCTACATGGAGATTTAAGGGGGCAATAAAGTGATTTTTGCACCCAGAGTTGACTCAGAGGCTGAAAGATTTCTATAAATTACATCTCTATTGCTGGACAATTGAAGTATAATCCATTTCACAGACATCATCTTGTCTCATCATGTGATGATACAGATAGTTTGGAAACTCAGATCATGATATGTCTGTTTTAGTTTTTGTGGACCACTGTATTAGTCAGGGTTGTCCAGAGAAATAGAACCAACAGGACACACACACACACACACACACACACACATTTTTATGAAGTGATTTATAATGAGGTATGGACTCACATGATTATGGAGCTAAGTCCCATAATCTGCTGTCTGCTAGCTGGAGACCCAGAAAAATGGTGGTGTAGGTTGAAGGTCTGGGATACCAAAAGCTGGTGGCGTATATTCCATTCTGGGTCTGAAGGCCTGAGAACTAGGTATGTTGATTGTAGAAGATGGATGTTCCTGTCAAACCATCAGGCTGAGTTAATTCAATCTTCTTCCCCTCTTTTTATTTTATTCAGGCTCTCAAGGGACTGGACGATGCCCATCCACATTGGAGAGGGCCTTCTGTGTTACCCAGTCCAACTCAAATGCTAATCCCTTCTGGAAACACCCTTACAGATTCACCCAGAATTTATGTTTAACCAGCTATCTGGCATCCTCTGGCCCAGTAAAGAGGACAAACAAAATTGACCATTATGGCTAGAATCTATAGCAACAATTTAAGTCTGCCATTGTACCATGAAATCCTCTATAATGAATGATCATGACTGTGTTTTAATAAAACTTTATTTTTGGACACTTAATTTGAATTACATGTGATGTTCACATGACACAAAATATTCTTCTTTTGATATTTTTCACCTGTTTAAAAATGTAAAGACTATTCTTACCTTGTGGGCTGTACAAAACCAGGTAGTGAGCCAGATTTGGCCCATGAGCTGTAGGTTGCTGACCTCTACCCTAGTATGTTCTGGGGAGCTCTTCATCCACACCAATTTATTCAGGTACTTTCCAAATATTTGATAAACATTACTCTTTAAGTCATGATGCTACATTGATAGAAATGGAAATGAATAAGGCAGACTTGATTCCCATGTCAGAGAATCCCAAAGACCTGTGTATTGGCTTAGATTCCCATAAGGAAATATCATAGACTGGGGGGTTGTTTCAGCTCATAGATGTTCAGCATGTGGAAGAGTCTGATGAGGTGGGTTTTCCAGCTCATAGATGTTCAGCATGTGGAAGAGTCTTTGTAGGAAGGAGAGGTTTCAGAAAAGGATGTAACCCAAAGGATGTAACTCTTCCTGGCTACCTTCTCACTGTGTGCTCCCATGGCCTTTTCTCCCTTCTCAAGTATAAAGTGAAAAAAGGAAAACCCTCAGGTGTCTCTTCTTCTTTTTTCTTTTCAAAGATCTTTTTATGTATGTATGTATGTATGTATGTATGTATGTATTTATTATTTATTTGTGTGTGTGTATGTGTGTGTGTGTGAGAGAGAATAAAAGCAGGGGGAGCAGCAGGCAGAGGGAGAAGCAGGCTCCCCACTGAGCAAGGAGCCTGAAGTGGGACTGGATCCCTGACCCTGGGATCATGACCTGAGCTGAAGACAGATGCTCAACACACTGAACTACTCAGTTGCCCCTCAGATGTTTCTTCTTACAAGGTCACTAATCCCAACATAAGGGGCCCACACTGATCTCATTCTAATTATCTCCCACAAACCCCATCACCAAATACCACACATGGGGGCGAGGGGCTAGGGATTCAACATGTGAATTGGGTAAAGGGTCACAAACATTTAGTCCACAACAATGTGTAAGGTGGGAAACCAGAAGAAAAGGAACATACAGTATAGTAGTTACTGTGATCTATGGGACCTTGTGCCTGTGGGGACATGGCAGACGTGGAACAAACCCTGGCTAGGGAAGGCAGGTGGTAAGGAGCACTAGGGTCAACTGATGGCTGTATCCCTAGGTTGTGGCTTGGGAGGCTGATCTCAGCATTTGTCCCCATATCTTTATTTATTTATTTATTTATTTTTAACAGTTTCATAGGTAGAATTTAATGATTAGCCAGTTGCATATGATACCCAGTGCTCATTACATCAATTGCCCTCCTTAATGCCCAAAACCCAATTACCACATCCCCCCATTCACCTCCCCTCCAGCAACCCTCAGATGGTTTCCTAGAGTTCAGCATCTCATGTGGTTTGCCTCCTGCTCAATTTTCATCTTATTTTGTTTCCTTCCCTTCCCCTCTATTCATCTGTTTTGTTTCTTAAATTCCATGTATGAGTGAAATTATATGGTATTTGTCTTTCTCTGACTGAATCATTTTACTTAACATAATACCCTCAGTTCCATCCTTGCAAAGAGCAAGACTTCTTTTTGATGGCTGAGTAATATTAAATTGTATAAATATATACCACTGCTTCTTTTTTTAAAATTATGTTATGTTAGTCACCATACAGTACATCATTAGCTTTTGATGTAGTGTTCCATGATTCATGTTTGTGTATAACACCCAGTGCTCCATGCAATATGTGCCCTCCTTAATACCCCAGCCTGTTGCTGTTATCCAGATTCATATTTCCCTGTGGGGAGATCTCTAGCAATCCCATGATGGGTTGTAAAGGTACAGAGGCTTGAGGGTGGTGGAGGGGCACATCCAAGATTATGGGGCATCTGGAACCCTCAGCCCTAGGAGCAGCACAGAAGTACTTTGTGGAAGGAATACAGGCCAGAGGAAGAGTGGTGGGGATTAGGGCAATGCAGGCATGTGGCCAGGGGGATGCAGAGTGAAGAGCTCTGGTTTGTAACTAGAGGACACCAATGTTTTCTCTCTCCCTTCATCCCTCCCTCTCTGTTTCTATCCTTCCTTCCCTCCCTCCTTCCCTCTCTCCCCCACTCTTTCTCCATACACAGAGGAAAGATCATATGAGGACACAGGGTGCAGGCAGCCATCTACAAGTCAGGAGAGAGCTCTTGCCAGAAACCAACACTGCCGACATATTGACCTTGGAATCCAGCCTCCAGGAAAAATTTGAGAAAAAAATTTCTGTGGTTTATGACACCTCTTTAATGCTATATTATTATGGCAGTGCTCAATTTTACTACACACGGACATGGGGAAAACAAAGAAAATGTAAAAATGCAAAGAAAATCACCATAATTCCATCAGAGAGTAGTGGAACATTTTGGGTATGTTTTTCTCATCTTTTAAAACATCAGGAATATTTACTTTGTCAATAAATGTGTATCTCAGACTGTGTTGAGTATTGCTGAAGAATAAAAACACCTTGGTTCTAGACCTGCCAGGGTTTAGGATTGTTGGGGTTGCATGAGGGAGAGCTTTGCCGTGATGGGATACTTATCTAATTTATTGCACGGACAGTTACAGGAACCCACACATGTGATAAAATGTCACAAAACTGTACACTCCCATTGTGCTAATGTCAGTTTCTTGGTTTAGATATTTGACTACTGTTACATAAGAACCCAAATACATAAAATATATCTTTTGCAGGAAGCCAGGGGAAGGACCTCTAGGTATTGTTTTTTTTTTAAATTATGTTATGTTAATCACCATACATTACATCATTCGTTTTTGATGTAGTGTTCCATGATTCATTGTTTGCGTATAACACCCAGTGCTCCATGCAGAACGTGCCCTCTTTAATACCCATCACCAGGCTAACCCATCCCCCCACCCCCCTCCCCTCTAGAACCCTCAGTTTGTTTCTCAGAGTCCATAGTTTCTCATGGTTTGTCTCCCTGTCCGATTTCCCCCCCTTCATTCTTCCTCTCCTGCTATCTTCTTCTTCTTCTTCTTTTTTTTAACATATAATGTATTATTTGTTTCAGAGGTACAGGTCTGTGATTCATCAGTCTTAGACAATTCACAGCACTCACCACAGCTCTCATACCCTCCCCAATGTCCATCACACAGCCACCCCATCCCTCCTACCCCCCACCACTCCAGCAACTAGGTATTGTTTTTGAAACATCTTGTCAATCTATGTTTATTTCAAAATAAAACTTAAAAATAACGATGTCTGTTTGCAACGACGTGGATGGAACTAGAGAGCGTTATGCTGAGCAAAATAAGTTAATCAGAGAAAGACATGTATCATATGACCTCACTGATATGAGGAATTCTTAATCTCAGGAAACAAACTGAGGGTTGCTGGAGTGGTGGGGGGTGGGAGGGATGGGGCGGCTGGGTGATAGACATTGGGGAGGGTATGTGCTATGGTGAGCGCTGTGAATTGTGCAAGACTGTTGAATCGCAGACCTGTACCTCTGAAACAAATAATACATTATATGTTAAAAAAAAAAGTGAAAAAAGAAGAAGATAACAGGAGGGGAAGAATGAAGGGGGGGAATCAGAGGGGGGGATGAACCATGAGAGGCAATGGGACTCTGAAAAACAAACTGAGGGTTCCAGAGGGGAGGGGGTTAGGAGGATGGGTTAGCCTGGTGATGGGTATTAAGAGGGCACGTTCTGCATGGAACACTGGGTGTTATATGCAAATAATGAATCATAGAACACTACATCAAAAACTAATGATGTAATGTGTGGTGATTAACATAACATAATTAAAAAAAAGAAAAAATAAAGATGTCTGTGTATATGGACAACATATTCATTATCTATTCATCTGTTGAAGGGCATCTCGGCTCTTTCCACAGTTTGGCGATTGTGGACATTGCTGCTAGAACACTGGGGGGCCTATGGCCCTTCTTTTCACTACATCTGTGTCTTTGGGGTAAATACCCAGTAGTACAATTGCTGGGTCATAGGGTAGCTCTAATTTTAATTTTTTTGAGGCACCTCCACACTGTTTTCCAAAGGGGCTGTACCAACTTGCATTCCCACCAACGCACCAACGAGGGTTCCCCTTTCTCCACAACCTCTCCAACATTTGTTGTTTCTTGCCTTGTCCATTTTTGCCATTCTAACTGGTGTAAGGTGATATCTCAATGTCGTTTTGATTTGAATTTCCCTGATGGCTAATGATGTTGAACATTTTCTCATGTGTCTGTTAGCCATTTGTATGTCATCTTCAGAGAAGTGTCTTTTCATGTCCTCTGCCCATTTTTTGACTTGATTATTTGTATTTTGGGTGTTGAGTTTGAGAAGTTCTTTATAGATCTTGGATACCAGCCCTTTATCTGTAGCGTCATTTGCAAATATCTTCTCCCATTCTGTGGGTTGCCTCCTTGTTTTGTTGATTGTTTTCTTTGCTGTGCAGAAGCTTTTTCTCTTGATGAAGTCCCAAAAGTTCATTCTTGCTTTTGTTTCACCTGCTTTTGGACATGTATCTTGAAAGAAGTTGCTGTGGGCGATGTCAAAGAGGTTACTGCCTATGTTCTCCTCTAGGATTTTGATGGATTCCTGTCTCACGTGGAGGTCTTTCATCCATTTTGAGTTTATCTTTGTGTATGATGTTAGAGAATGGTCAAGTTTCATTCTTCTGCATGTGGCTGTCCAATTTTCCCAGCACCATTTATTGAAGAGACTGTCTTTTTCCCATTGCATATTTTTTCCTGCTTTGTCGAAGATTATTTGACCATAGAGTTGAGGGTCCATATCTGGGCTCTCTATTCTGTTCCATTGGTCTATATGTCTGTTTTTGTGCCAGTACCATGCTGTCTTGGTGATCACTGCTTTGTAATGTAGCTTGAAATTGGGCAACATCATGCCCCCAGCTTTGTTTTTCTTTTTCAACATTTCCTTGGCGATTCGGGGTCTTTTCTGATTCCATACAAATTTTAGGATTGTTTGTTCCAGCACTTGGAAAAATGTCATTGGAATTTTGATCGGGATGGCACTGAAGGTATAGATTGCTCTGGGTAGCATAGACATTTTAACAATGTTTATTCTTCTGATCCATGAGCATGGAATGCTTTTCCATCTTTTTGTGTCTTCTTCAATTTCTTTCATGAGTGTTCTGTAGTTCCTAGAGTACAGATCTTTTACCTCTTTGGTTAGATTTATTCTGAGGTAACTTACAGTTTTTGGTGCTATTGTAAATGGAATCATTTCTCTAATTTCTCTTTCTACAGTTGCATTGTTAGTGTATAAGAAAGCAACTGATTTCTGTGCATTGATTTTGTATCCTGCCACATTACTGACTTGCTGAATGAGTTCTAGTAATTTAGGGGTGGAGTCTTTTGGATTTTCCACATAAAGTATCATGTCATCTGCAAAAAGAGAGAGTTTGGCTTCTTTGCCAATCTGAATACATTTTCTTTCTTTTTGTTGTCTGATTGCTGTTGCTAGGACTTCTAGTACTATGTTGAACAATAGTGGCAAGAGTGGGCATCCTTGATTTGTTTCTGATCTTAAGGGAAAGGCTCTCAGCTTTTCCCCATTGAGGATGATATTCGCTGTGGGCTTTTCATAGATGGAATTTATGAGCTTGAGGAATGTTCCCTCTATCCCTACACCCTGAAGAGTTTTAATCAGGAAAGGATGCTGTATTTTGTCAAATGCTTTTTCTGCATCAATTGAGAGGACCATATGGTTCTTCTCTCTCCACTTCTTAATGTATTCTATCACACTGATTGATTTCTGAATGTTGAACCACCCTTGCCTCCTGGGGATAAATCCCACTTGGTCGTGGTGGATGATCCTTTTAATGTATTGTTGGATCCTATTAGCTAGGATTTTGTTGAGGATTTTGGAATCCATATTCATCAGGGATATCGGTCTGAAATTCTCCTTTTTGACGGGGTCTTTGCCTGGTTTGGGGATCAAGGTAATGCTGGCCTCATAGAATGAACCTGAAAGCTCTCCTGCTGTTCCTATTTTTTGAGACGGCTTTAGGAGAATAGGTATTATTTCTTCTTTGAAAGTTTGGTAGAATTCCCCAGGGAATCCATCAGGCCCCGGGCTCTTGTGTTTTGGGAGGTTTTTGATCACTGCTTCAATGTTGTTACTGGTTATTGGTCTCTTCAGGTTGTCAATTTCTTCCTGTTTCAGTCTTGGTAGTTTATAGGTTTCTGGAAGGCATCCATTTCTTCCACGTTACTTAATTTATTGGCATATAGTTGCTGATAATAATTTCTAATAATTGTTTTATTTTCTTGGTGTTAGTCGTGATCTCTCCCCTTTCATTCATAATTTTATTAATTTGGGTCCTTTCTCTTTTCTTTTTTTTCTCCTTTCTCTTTTCTTTTGGATAAGTCTGGCCAGTGGTTTATTGATCTTATTAATTCTTTCAAAGAACCAGCTTCTGGTTTTGTTGATCTGATCTACTGTATTTCTGGTTTCTAATTCATTGATCCCTGCTTTAGTCTTAATTATTTCCTTTCTAATGCATGGCTTAGGCATAGTTTGTTTTTTTTCCTCACAGTTCTTTAAGGTGTAAAGTCAGTTGGCTAGAGGCTTGGATATATTATTCAGCTATCAGAAAAGATGAATATCCAACTTTTGCATCAGCATTGATGGGACTGGAGGAGATTATGCTAAGTGAAATAAGTCAAGCTGAGAATGTCAATTATCATTTGTTCACTTATTTGTGAAACATAAGAAATCACATGGAGGACATAGGGAGAAGGAAAGGAAAAATGCAGGGGGGATATTATAGGGGGAGAAGAACCATGAGAGACTATGGACTCCAAGAAACAAACTGAGGGTTTTAGAGGGGAGGGGGGGATGGGTTAGCCCAGTGATGGGTGTTAAGGAGGGCACATATTGCATGGAGCACTGGGTGTTATAAGCAAACAATGAATCATGGAACACTACATCAAAAACAAATGATGTACTGTATGGTGACTAACATAACATAATAAAAAAAAAAAGAAAAAAGATGTCTGCGACTAGATAATGGACAAAAAATGATCTGTTCACTCTGTGCCACAGACCTCATAGGGGCCAAAATAGCAGTGGAATTACCTTCATGTTTGGGAGGTCTTCCTATATCAAAATGATAGAAAAAGTATCAAAGAGGCTTTCAGTATGAATACTAGAAATGCTAAGGAAATACTTAAAAAGAGCAGTTTGATTTTCAGAGATGTTCATGATGGGAAAACACAGGGGAAAGGAGTATCTAGACCAGCAGTTTACTAAGTAGCTCATCTAAGACATAAGTAAACAGGAAGTCTTTTCAACACACCCAGATCAAGACCAGACGGCATTTTCTGTGGCTGGGCTTGCCGGTGTCAGCACCATGAGGAATGGGCATCTAATGTTGCTGCCAGGTAGGGCAACTAAAGCTATCCAGGATCTCTATCCTGTTTGAGAATGTTCTCCATTCTTTGCTTTATTTCTAACATTTGCTCTATTTCTTTATTTCCTACTATCTCTCTAAGGGAAAGCAGGAAAAAAAATGTAAGATTGGAATTAACTCAGTTATATTAAGTTCTCAAAGAAGAAATTTAGTTAAACTTATTTCTAGGGCAAATGTGGGGACTTATCAGTGCTTCTCATTTTATTACATGTATTAAACCAGGTTCTCCAGAGAAAACATAATCACTAGTTTCTGTATATGTATCTATCTGTATAGAGATGTAAATGTGTGTGTGTATGTATATATG